TAGGTAATTGTTGGTATGTCGTATCAAACAACAATGATGCGTAGATACGGTTTTGAGTGATGGGAGATGTGTAATCGAACTCCCTATTATTATATATAGACGATCACAAACGAATGCTTGATTTGGCATCACCTCACTCGCCGTCTTCATAGGTATCACGTTGGGCATGTTGGTGGCAATCATTTCATCTTTAAAGACGGAAAGGTAATTTGCGGAGAATGAAGGAGGCGGTGGAAAGAGCCCTATAACCTGCATGCTGATGCTCATTGGATCTCTAGCTAGGGCTTCCTCTACCAAGAGTGCTCTGCGGTTAGTCGCCGAGACTGCACTCGTAACCGTTTGAGACTGGGCTTGTATTCATGTTCTACCCCTAGACAAGTACTCATAAACATCCTAAACAGTTCATAGTAGTTTAAAAATGACAGCATTACTGTTCAACGCTTTATTTTTTAGACCCATTTTGTTCCCTTATGCTTCGTTGCTTTTTGCTGCTTGCTCACTGCAGTTCGTCTATGGACACTTATTGCCGTGCATAGCTGGTTGGAAAATCTTGCAGATAATATAACTCGAAATTGAGAATGAAAGAGGCGATTCACTTTTTAGCTGTCCTCATAGTCAACTCACTCGTTTATACAGTTCTGCTTACAGCTTGCAAAAGTGATGATTATTTGTCAGGGTGAATATTGGCCTTCGAAAGGTATTCTGAGCAGCATGTGTTGAGAGGTAATATTCTAACTGCAGTTTTTTTGGAATTCCTCCTAGCCTAGCGTAGTTCTATCGACAGAGGAGGGAATTGATGAGGATACTAAAGGTGCTAAACTCCTTACTGTTCCCCACGGCTCGTGTATGATGAGGAAATTGAGTCGGTTTTCCCCATTTGCCTCGTGTTTTAGGCACAGGTGGGATTACTCATATGGTTATACTAGGTCCTTCATGATTTTCTTACTTATCTAGCGCTCTTCGATTTTCGGTCCGGCAGTAAAGGCAGTGCCGTGGTGGGTCTC